GGGTGCAGAACTCAAATTCTGATAAAAAGACCAGACTTAATGGTTTGATTGAGACTGGAGGGACTCAGAAGACATGGACCCCAGACTCTCTGTTAGCCCAAAACTAAAACCATTCCTGAGGCCAACTCTTCAGACAAAGATTAGACTGGACTATGGGACATAAAATGATACTCATGAAGAATGTGCTTCTTAGCTCAAGTAGATACATGAGACTAAATGGGCAGCTCCTCTCCAGAGGCAAGATGAGAAGGCAGACAGGGTCAGGAGCTGGTTAAATGGACACAGGAAACCCGGGGTGGAAAGGAGGAGTGTGCTGTCACAGTACAGGGTGAGCAACTAGGGTCACATAACAATGTATGTACAAACTTTTGTATGAGAGACTAACTTGAATTGTAAACTTTCACTTAAAGCACAAAAAAAAAAGAAATGTAAATTAGGGAGTTATCAGCATATATGTGAGATATTCATCATTTGTAACTTTAAAAGATATGAAATATTTAAATGTATACTAATAGCAGCCTAGTTATAAAAATTATGATAATCATAATGGAATATCATGTAGCCATACACTCATACAAGGGTATAGATTCACATGGACTGATATAAAGGTGTCCAGGATATGCTGTTAAATGAAAATGCAAATGGCAAAATATATATATATAACAGGAATGTCTTATCAACCCACACATCCATGATCAACCAATTTTTGACAAGAGTGCTAAGTTCATTCGATAAGGAAAGAAGAATCTCTTCAATAAATGGTGCTGAGAAAATTGGATTTCCACATGCAGAACAATGAAACAGGACCTATGCCTCACACAATACACAAAAACAAATTCAAAGTGGATTAAGGACCTAAATATACATTCTAAAACCATAAAATACTCAGAAGAAAATGCAGGGTTAACACTGTCAGGCCTAGTTCTTAACAATGGATTATCTACTATAATAAAAAAAAGCAAAAACAACAAAAGACAAAATAAATAAATAGGACCACATAAAAATTAAAAACTTTTTCATCAAAAGTGTTTACAAAAAATAAAAAGACGAACTATTGACTGGGAGAGTATCTTTGGAAACCATATACCCAATAAAAATCTAATAACAAAATGAATATAAAACTTTGACAAATTAACAACAAAAAAACAAATAACCCAATTAAAAAATAGGCAACCAAACCTGAATAGACATATCCCCAAAAATGACATTCAAACGTCCACCAGACAGATGAAAAGATGCTCAGCATCATCAGCCATCAGAGAGAGGCAAATTAAAACCACAGTAAGATAACATTTCACTTTCACTAGGATGGCTAAGATTAAAAAAACAGAAAATAACAAACGTTAGCTAGGATGTGGGGAAATTGGAACCCTTTACCCATTGCTGGTGGGAATGTAAAATGTTACAGCGCTGTGGAAAATAGTGTGGCAGCTCCTCAAAAAACTAAAAATGGAATTACCATGTGTTGTTGTTGTCAGGTGCCATTCAGTCAGTTGCAACTCCTAGCAGCCCTATGCACAACAGAATGAAACACTGCCTGGTCCTGCACCATCCCCATGATCATTGTTATGCTTGAGCCCATCGTTGCAGCCACTGTGTGAATCCATCTCCTTCAGGGTCTTCCTCTTTTTTGCTGACCCTCTACATTACCAAGCATGATGTCCTTCTCCAGGGACTGGCCTCTCCTGATAACATGCCCAAAGTATATGAGATGAAGTCTCGCCAACCTCACTTCTAAGTCGCATTCTGGCTGTACTTCTTCCAAGACAGATTTGCTTGTTCTTTTGGCAGTCCATAGTATATTCAACATTCTTCGCCAACACCATAACTCAAGGCATCAATTCTTCTTTGGTCTTCCTAATTCATCGCTCAGCTTTCACATGCATATGAGGCAACTGAAAACACCATGGCTTGGGTCAGGTACACCTTAGTCCTTAAAGTGACATCTTTGCTTTCTAACACTTTAAAGAGGTCTTTTGCAGCAGATTTGCAACAATGCAATGTGTCCTTTGATTTCTTGACTGCTGCTTCCGTAAGTGTTGACTGTGGATCCAAATAAAATGAAATCCCTGACAACTTCAATCTTTTCTCCATTTATCATGATGTCGCTTATTGGTCCAGTTGTGAGGATTTTTGTTTTCTTTATATTGAGGTGTAATCCATACTGTAGGCTATAGTCTTTGATCTTCATCAGTAAGTGCTTCAATTCCTCCTCACTTTCAGCAAGCAAGGTTGTGTCATCTGCATAACTCAGGTTGCTAATGAGTCCTCCTCCAATCCTGATGCCCTGCTCTTCTTCATATAGTCCAATTTCTCGAATTATTTGCTTAACATACAGATTGAATAAGTATGGTAAAAGGATACAATCCTGATGAACGCCTTTCCTGACTTTAAAGTACACAGTATCCTTTTGTTCTGTTCAAACAACTGCCTCTTGATCTATATGCAGGTTCCTCAGGAGCACAATTAAGTGTTCTGGAATTCCCATTCTTTGTAACAATATTCATAATTTTTTATGAACCACATAGTCAAATGCCTCTGCATAGTCAATAAAACAAAGGTAAACATCTTTCTGGTATTCTTTGCTTTCAGCCAGGATCCATCTGACATCAGCAATAATATCCCTCCACTCCACGCCCTCTTCTGAATGCGGCTTGAATTTCTGGCAGTTCCCTGTCGATATGCTGCTGCAATAGCTTTTGAATAATCTTCAGCAAAATTTTACTTGTGCGTGATATTAATGATACTGTTTGATAATTTCCACATTCAGTTGGATCATCTTTCTTTGGCATGGGCATAAATACGGATCTCTTCCAGTCGGTTGGCCAGGTAGCTGTCTTCCACACTTCTTGGCATAGATGAGTGAGCACTTCAGGCACTGCAACCATTTGATGAAACATCTCAATTGGTGTTCTGTCAATTCCTGGAGCCTTGTTTCTCACCAATGTCTTCAGTGCTGCTTGGACTTCTTCCTTCGGTACCATCGGCTCTTGGTCATAGGCTACTGTGATGGTTAAGACTGCGTGTCAGCTTGGCTGGGTCATGATTCTCAGTGTTTATATATGATCACTCCCATGTTTGAATCTGTTGTGAATAGCCAATCAGCTGAAAGGGAGTTTCCTTGGGAGTGTGGCCTGCATCCAAATACAAGCAGACATTCTGGCTTTTTGCTCACTCTGGATCCTGTGGCTGCCTCCTGTTCATCTGACCTCCAGTTCTTGGGACTTGAGCTATCAACTTATCTGATCTTGGGATCCACTGATCTTCACAGCCTGTGAGCAAAGCCCTGCTCTCTGACCTGCCGATCTTGGGCTCGCCAGACCCTGCAGCTCCGTGAATCAGGAGAAGCCTTGCAGTCTTGCCTGCCAATCTTGAGATTTGTTGATATTCACAGCCTGTGAGCAAGAGCCCTGCTTTCCAAACTGCTAATCTTGGGTTCACCAGCCCCTGTGGCTATGTGAATTGGGAGAAGCCTCTATCCTAATCCATGGACTTGGGACATTCCAGCCTCTACAATCGTGTGAACTGTTTCTTTGATACAAACCTCTTTCTACATATATTTATACGCTTTACTGGTTTTGCTTCTCTAGAGAACACAGCCTACGACAGTTACCTCCTGAAATGATTTAATGTTGGCCAGTTCTCTTTGGTACAGTGACTCTGTATATTACTTCCACCTTCTTTTGATGCTTCCTGTGTTGTTCAGTGTTTCGTCCATAGAATCCTTCAATATTGCAACTCAGCACTTGAATTTTTCTTCAGTTCTTTCAGCTTGAAAAATGCCAAGTGTGGTTTTCTAACTCCAGGTCTTCGCACATGTCATTATAATGCTTTACTTTGTCTTCTCGAGCTGCCTGGAATTACCGTATGACCCGGCAATACCACTCCTAGGTACATAACCAAAAAACTGGAAAGCAGAGACTCAAACAGAGACTTGTACGCCAGTGTTCATTGCAGGACTATTCACAACAGCCAAAAGGTGGAAACAACCTAAATGTCTATCAACAGATGAATGGACAAACAAAATATGGTACATACATACAAAGAAATACTACTCAGCCAGTAGCAGAAATGACGTCTTGATACCTGCTGCAGTATGGATGAAGCTTAAAGACATTATGCTGAGCAAAATAAGCCAATCACAAAAGGACAAATATTGTATGACCTCACTTATTAAAAAAAAGACAAGAAAAGGCAAATGTACAGACACCAAATTTATTAGCGGTTACCAGGACAGGAGGGAGGGGAGAAAGGGGGCTTAATGGTGATGGAAAAATCACACTGATTAACGGTAGGGTTACACAGCCTATTATTATAATTGCTATCAGTAAGTTGTACACCTGTAAAAAGTTGAATTGGCAAAAGTTGTAGGATAGATATATTTACAACAATGACAAAAAAAAAAAAAGAGTAGATACTAAGGCTGTTTATGTACAACTAAACAACTCATGGGACTTGGTTCCTTGGTTTGGAGGTTCAGGGTCATGGTTTCATGGGACATCCCAGTTAATTGGCCTAATAATGTGTTTAGTGTTTCTGTTCTACCTCCTACTTCATTGAGTAGTGCCTTGGGTCTTAAAAGCTTGCAAGCGGCCATCCAAGGCACAACAACTGGTCTCTATTCATCTGGAACAAAAGAGGAAGAAGGAGAGTCAGGAAGACAAGGAGGATATGGAATATGTGGCTAATTGCCTCCATGAACAACTGCCTCCTTTGCCATGAGACCAGAAGAACTAGATGGTGCCTGGCTACCATTACTGAACATATTGATCAAAGATTCCATAGAACCCTGATACCAAAGCCAGGAAAAGACACCACAAAAAAAGAAAATTACAGACCAATATCCCTCGTGAACATAGATACAAAAATTCTCAACAAAATTCTAACCAGTAGAATTCAACAGCATATCAAAAAAAATAGTAATACATCATGAACAAGTGGGATTCATACCAGGTATGCAAGGATGGTTCAACATTAGAAAATCAATATATGTAATTCACCACATAAATAAAACAAAAGAAAAGAATTACATGATCATTTCAATCGCTGCAGAAAAGGTAGCACAGTGGATAAAAGCTATGGCAAGCTATGACTGCTAACCAAAAGGTCAGCAGTTCGACTTCACCAGCTGTTCCTTGAAACCCTATGGGGCAGTTCTACTCTGTCCTATAGGGTTGCTATTAGTCAGAATTGACTCGATAGCAACAGGTTTATATGCTAAAAAAGGCTTGAAGAATTACAGCTAATAGAGGGGAAAAAAAAAAAGATTCCATAGAAGAATCCTGATCAACAAGGGCAAAATACAGAACACAATTTCAAATTCTCATGGAATCCAGACTTTCTGGAGCCATTGAGGCTGGATGAACCCTGAAACTATTGCCCTGAGACAATCTTTAAACCTGAAACCAAAAATATCCCCTGAAGTCATCTTAAAACCAAACAATATTTTAGCTTAAGTAGTAAAAAAGGTCTGCCTTGAGCAGTATGCTCTTTTAAGAACTATCTACATGGGATCAAAGTGACAACAGCAACTTGAAAGATTAGATAGGAACCTTAAGGAGCAGTGAATTTATGTTAATGAGGGGGGAACAACTCAGAAAAGGAGGATGAGAATGATTGCACAACTGGAAGAATGTAATCAATGTCACTAAACGGTACATGTAGAAACTGTTGAATCGATGTATGTTTTGCTGTGTATATTCTCAACAACAAAATAAATAAAATTTAGAAAATAAAAAAAGAACGTCTATCAATAAAACATCTATTGACATCTGAATCTCTTTTACTCCAAAGTCTAAAACAAGTTCTACAGATGCATATGTGTATCCAACCACTATTGCTGCATACTGGATTAAGCTTGATGCTATGCATGACCTAAACATCGATAGTTATCATTTGTGTTAGAAAGCTTCTAATATCCACTCACCTCTCTTAAAAAACAACAGCCTCCTTTGTCTAATTCCTGAAATGAACATGTGTGTTATGGTACATCCTGGATATGTGGCTAAGAGATTGTGACACCTCATAATAGCCTATGTCCAACTCTGATGGCCCTACTATTTATTAGGCAAATGTGAGTTATCACTATTATATAGTTATATAATAATTATTATTATATATGTTATATATGGCATAAATATATATATATTTATATATTATACAATAATATATGCTATTATTATATACAGCTATAATATGATCCTTAATAGAAATTAAATAGTTTACAAGTAGAAACTATCTCAAAGACAGATTTTCTTTTTAACCATCAAGTTCTGCCTGCCTTACAAATGTTATGTCAATTCTTCCCCATCTAGTACTTCAGTACCTCCATTAATTTTGGTCACCGACTTTTACCCTTTCTTGGGGTCAGCTCCATATCATCAATACCCAGTGAACACTCAGGCACATTCCGATTCTTACCAGGTGGCTCAGTTCTTCGTATCGGCTATTAAATGCCTCCAGTTTCTCACTGATTATGTCATCAAGAATTCCTCCATCAATCAGAGTCTGGCCAAGTTCTCGAATCTGGGTGCGGTTATCTGCTGGATGGCGCAAAACGGATTCCAGAGACTGGGCAGGGAAGGAAAAAAAATAATATGTTTACAGAGGAAAAATGTATCAAGGACCCTAAAAATGTCCATATTATTTTAATCAAGTATTTCCATTTTCTAGAAATCTATCATAAAGAATGAGACCAGAAATTAGGTAAATGATTGATTCCTAAAAATATTCAAGATGGTGTTCATAAATGTATAAAGTGGAGAACCTCAACAAAAGATGATATATAATATAAACTCAAAAAAATTATAAATTATTATTAATTATATGAATAAATGCTCATGATATGATACAAAGTTTAAAAGCAGAATACAATATACGAACAAAATTATCTCAACTGTTATTAATTATAATACTAAAAATAGGTACTCATTTTTCTACAACATATACAGAGTGCAAGGCACTGTTTTAGATTCACACTGTTCATATACATAAATCTAATTAACCAACGTGGGCTACATATTATTCTCATTTTACAAATGGGGATATTAAAGCCCAGAGAGGTTAAGTAACTTGCCTACATACACGGAGGCCGTTAAAAAAAAAAAAGTCTAGATTCCAACACATATCTTTGTGATGCCAAAATCTTTTATCCAAATTGCTATAATGGATCATCCTTCAGTCTGCATACATTTAAAAAAATAATAATTAGGAAGAAATACACCAAAGTGTTTAAAAGTTTATCTTGGAGTTTGTTTTATAATTTTCTCTAGTTTCCTTATTTCTACAATGTGCAAGTATTAACTCTCATATTAGGGAAATATATGTTTGTTTTTTTAAGTCTAAGCTTTTTATATTTTTATTGTCTCAATCTCTCATTCTGATATATTTATTTGAAAACTGATGTAGATCCTTCTGCCAGTAAAGCATCCTGCTCCTGGAATTTAGATACCATATCCGACTTATTAAACCAATTGCCATGGAGTCAATTCCAACTCATGGCGACCCCATGTGTATCAGAGTAGAACTATGCTCCACAGGGTTTTCAATGGCTGATTTTTCAGAAGTAGACTGCCAGGCATTTCTTCCATGGCCTTTCAGTTAGCAGTGAGCACACTAACCATTCACACCACCCAGTGATTCCCATTTGACTTATCACTGACCTTCAAATTAGTCATCCACTCAGCTACAACATCATGTCACATTTTTATAAGCAAATCTACCCACTTCCTCTTTTTTCTTCTTAAAGCAAATCAACCCTGTTTACATTTTAATTAATGTAAGAAACAGTTGTTATGTTATCATGAACTACACATTGTGCTGGTAACTAAGGAACAAAGAAGAATCAGGTACATTTCTTATCCTCAGGGAGCTCACAGGTTATGCCTAGTGACAAGCTCCTATGATAGGCTCTCATGACACAAACCCTGCCCACCATAGCCTATCCTCAAATGGTTGACTTCTGAATATAATGTAACAGAAGCCATTGTAAACATAGTTATTGCTATGTTTAATGAGGAAAAATAACTTTATGAAGAAACGGTATAACAGGTGCCCTAATAACATAAGGCAGAGTTGTATCCATGGATGGGTAAAACAACCTGGAACATCACCAGAGTGCTTTACCATGTCTAAGATGTACTACTGGTCAAATAGATAGACCTCTCCTAAGGCTGATTTAGTGGGTCATCAACAACCTAAATATACATGATTATATAAGTACTTCGTGCTGTGGAAGAAAAAACAAGTCACACTGAAAACTACTAAGAAAGCAAATGTGTTTGTCTATGTAAAGCATTACGTTCCTCGTTTTAGTACGCATATGGCCTCATTGCAACAAAAAGAAATGCCACCTATAACTGTTTCTGACCTCAAGGGCTTCACTGACAGCCTCTGCTTTCTCAGGTAGAACTTCTGTGCTCTTCATCCGCTCTTCCAAAGCGTTTAACCAGCTGGTCTCCAGGTCCAAATAATGAAGCAGTTCAATCCAACAAGACCATACCTCCTAAAGTGGGTGATGAGAAATTTCAATGAGACAAGAAGCGAGTTTGGACTTAACAGCTCTAGTGCTACACATTCTCTCTAATTGACAATAATTTCATTTAGATGTGAGAATATGTGGGAATTTAGAAACTGGTGAAGCTAGGGTTTGAGAGAAATGAAACAAAATGAAACTATTCAATAAATCATGTTAGTCCAACTGCAGGGGGTGGAGAGGAGGAAAAGACAAACAGCTAAGAGACTACCTCACTCTTTACACTAAAATAAATCCCAGGAAACTGACTTAGATGTCAAAAATAAACTATATAATTAGTAGAAGAAAATAGGAGGGAAACATTATTATCAGTTTGTTTTTTAAATGCTAAAAAGTACCAAAACAAAACAAAACAAACCCATTGCTGTCAAGTGGAATCCAATTCATAGCCACCCTATAGGAGAGAGTAGAACTGCCCCATAAGGTCTTTAAGGAGCACCTGGTGGATTTGAACTGCCAACCTTTTGGTTAGCAGCCATAGGTCTTAACCACTACACCACCAGGGTTACCAGGCACAGAAAAGTAAAAAACAACTCATATTTGCAATACTTTTTAACAATTAGATAGGAAACTGAAATCTCCTGGGACCCACTCAATTCCAACTCAGAGCTAATCAATGTAAACAATTTGCTGTGTCGACTTCTCAACTTATTTTCTAAATTCACATGGATATTTCTGTATATAAAGAAAGCTACATTTTAACCAAAGTGAATTATCCTATACTCACTGTGTTAGTTATAATCCATTATTCCCCACTCCTACCGTTTCCATGGGGTGGGGACATAAATTTATACTCTACTTCCTAGAGGTAAAATTAAGGCATGAACACTTCTGCTTCTCTCCACCTCCTTATCCCAAATAGGAGGAACCTATTTGATTAGTGAATTTTGAAGAAAGAACTCAAACTGGGCATCCTGGGTCTGTTCTCTTTAGCATTTGCTGACTGAGAGAAGGCACTTTATAGCCTGCGCTCCATAAGAGTTATGCTTACCAGACCAAAAGTAGGCAAATTTTTCTATAACAGGCCAGATAGGAAATAGTTTAGGTTTCATGGCCCACACCCAGTACCTCTCGCAGATTCTTCTGTGTGTTTTGCGTTTTTTTGTTTGTTTTTTTTCAACAACCCTTTAAAAATATGAAAACCCTTCTTAGTTCATGGGCATATAAAACCAGGCTGGGCCAGATTTGGCCCATAGGGGTGTAGTTTACTGACTCGGCTCAGACTAAAAGGGGAAAGAGGGTGGTTTCTGGACCCCCAAATTTCTACAAGCAGAAAGCAGACTGCAAGCACAGCCCCATTTCTTAGGAGAAAGGAAGGATGACTCACAGATAACCCTTCGCAAACAGCAGAACTGGTTCCTAATCAAGCAAGAACAAGGGGCCCTGACTACAGGTGCCTGGCTAGACTTCAGAATTACTATGGACTGTGGGGATATGTGCCATTAAAATACGTATGTATAAAGGCCTCTATGCTGCACAACATGTTGAGACTTGTCCCCAACATGTTGAGCCTTGTCACGACTTGTTTTTCCAAACCCATTACTGATTGGCTTGTTTACCTGAATTCCTCCTCGCTTGCCCGAAACTTATTGTTATTCACCCAAAGCCCATTGTTGTTATTTGCTTCACTGCTTGCTGTATTGACTATAAAATAAACTCCTGGGACTGAAGCCGGGGTTCAACTCCTCAGAGTGACCCTCCTGGCCCCACGTCTCTGTAAGAGTTGTGGCATTGGTTATTGTCTCCACCACCCCGACAACCGTTGCCGCTGCGACAATGGACCAACCGAGAAAACAACCTGTTGCTGTCGAGTTGATTCCAACTCATAGCGATCCTATACGACAGAGCAGAACTGCCCCATAAGGTTTCCAAGGAGCGGCTGGTGGATTCAAACTGCGGGCTTTTTGGTTAGTAGCCAGTTGCTTACCCACTGTGCCACCAGGGCTCCTACTATGGACCAGGGACTGCTATTTACCCTGCACTCCCTGGACTTTTTTGAGTGGGAGTGTTTACTGAAGTTTCCTGTTCCTGTCTCACTACCGTATGCTGGGGATGTGGGACACAGATGATGTTTCATGCCTACATCTCTGAATCAAGGGGTGCCACTCTCAAACACCTGCACCTGAAGAAACTGCTCCAAGGAGCTACACGTGCATTTGGCCCTGATAGAGGTAACAAGGTACTAGATTTCCAGTGCGATGCTATGTTGGATAAGACTTTGGGAGCCTCTGGGAGACAGTGAGTGCATTGGCATGTGGGAGGAATATAAATAATTTGTGGCCAGAGACTGAACTATAGTGGATTAAAGATGGCCACAAATTCTTTGCCATTATTCCCATCAAGAGGTGAAGTCATTTTGTTATCTCTTACAGTCTGGGTTGGTTTTGTGACTTGCTTGAACCAAAAGATAGCTACAGAGGATGACACTTTGCCAAATTTCAGACCTTTAAAAGAGCATGCAGTTGAGCTAAATTAACAGATTGGCTCATAAAAAAAAAGAATATTACCTGTGAGTACTGTACATCTTTTTAAAAAATCATCTATATGAGACCAAATGTTCAACAATTACACTAAAGCAAAGATGAAATGGTACAGGGACAGGAAAACCAGATTACTACAGTACTGGAAACAAAACATCAGAATGGAATTAATGAGAATGCCGACACATTGTGAAAAGTGTAACCAAAGTCACTGAATAATTTGTGTAGTAATTGTTAAATGGGAACCTAATTTGCTGTGTAAACTTCCACTGACAACACAATAAAATATTATTTTAAAAAAAGAACAGGCAGCCTCTGCTTTCTCCCTGTTAAAAACTGGCTACTATCCTAAAAACAAGCTGTAAAGATGAGAGGCCACATGGAGAGAGACGTTGGAAGATGAGAGGCCATCATGAATGTCCAGCTGAGCTCCCACTTTGATGTAGCTACATGAGTGATCGATACCTCTACCACATGGAGTAGGAGAGCCACCCAGCTGAGCCAAATCAACCCACAGAATCACAAGAAATAATGAATTGGTTTTGCAAGCCACTGGATAACTTTGGTGGTGGTTTGTTACCTAGCAAGAGATAACTGAAACATAGGTATATGTAGTAAAACTATAAAAACATTAACGGAAAGAACATACACCAATTTCTGGATAATGGCTACCTCAAGGGAGGGATACAGAGGAGGAATAAGATGAAAGGAAGGAATCAGGTTCTGTAATGCTAATCTATTTTATTTTTTAAAAACGGGATAAAATGTTAACAATAGCTATTGTCATCTAGGGGATGAGTATAAAGGTATTTGTAGTATTATGTATACTCTCCTATAAGTTCAAAATGTTTGAGCTTAAAAGTACTCTATAGGAATCTGGAAATAATCAAGGTGATAAAATAAGTCTCTTCCTAATTTAGAAATTTTGGCTGTTTCTTCCCAAGATCTTTCAGTAACCCCTGAGATATTTTTAAGAGCATTTCCATATTTAAGCCTAGTTTAACTTCTTTTTGTTTCCCGTTTCAGAGACCTCAAGGCCTCATCTCTCTTCTCTTCACTGTATCATTTTTTTTCTAACACTCTTCCTGTTCTTCTCTCAAAGAAATTCTCTCCAAATAATTACAAATCCCAACAGTAATTCTCAAAGTAATTTCAAACCCTCAAAATACTTCATTCTGCATTCTAAACATTACCATCTTTGAGTCCCAAAGATAGCTTGAAGGAACGACATAGAATACAAGTGGCCTTTTGTTATCTTGGGATAAATCTAGTGACTCAATTCATTATTTAAACATATTGTTAAGTTGCTGTTTTGGCCATAAATGAATAGTGGAAACATAAAAGAACAAAACTAAGGGTGGTTCTGCCAGGGAGAAAAACATGGATAAGACTGTAGTAAAATTCAATTCCAAGATCATTCATTAGAATTTGAGATTAGGCATATATAATACTATATAGAATTTCAAATTCTCAAATGAGTAGCCTTTCGTGTTTTATGTTAGACTACATATTCATATTAAAGAATGAGGATCTGTGTGAACTGTAGCTTCTTCATTAATTAGTCTCAATTATAAATATTTATCTTAGCACAAAATAGATTCTGAAAAAGCAAGTAATGAGTTACTTTATTTTATATATTGCAATTATGATTTTTTACCATTACCATTTTACAACTGACCTCAATCTATTTAAAAGAAAAGTTTATTATAAATTGAAATGCTTCTTAAATCTTTTCAATAAGATATGACAAGTCATACTCATGTAAAAACAAAAACTTAATTTTACTTAAAAAAAAAAAGAAAAAAACCTCAGAATCAACCACTCTAAATAAAAATACCTCAATTCATCTCTGTGTAGTCAACCAAGCAAAGCAAAACAAAGAAGATGTTCACAGTGCATTGTTCTGGAATTTTAGGACTGAACAGGCCCTACAGATCATCTGTAACATGAAAATCTTGACATCACATATTTTTAAAAAGTGAAGTCTGAAGATATTAAATGACTTGCTCAAGAACCTTCCACTAGTTGGGGGCAGATATTTAGTCTCCTTTTTTTTTCTCCCCTCAATCCCTCTTTCCTTTTCACCAACCTATTACCCAAGAATTCCTTTTCTTTTATGATCCAGAACCTTTTTTTAAAACAGAGTTTTTCTACGATAATGGAAAACAGTTTAGTTTTGTCTTCAACTTACTCCTTGCTTAATTGAAACTTGCAAAGCTGGACAATACGTTGCAGAGTTTAGATCTCAAAACATGCATCACTCAAAAAAACACCATACCTCTAGCGTGTGGCACTTTCCTCGAATTCTGTTACAAAGAAGTTGGTAATTCTCCAGCACAACGTTCAGCTCAGACGTCAATTCCTGGCCACCAGAGGGCACTTTTGTAGCTAATAACTTGATGTTGTCCTTGAGAATCTTCACTCTCACCTCCTTCTGCAACACATCCTCTTTCGCCCTCTGTTCCAAGAAAGAATGAACTTGAAAATGTCTCCCATTCCAGTAACCAATTTTTTTTTTTAATTACTAAATCAAAATTAAAGTTTCTAAGTAAGTCTAGCTGCCTAATTCGAGCATTATTTAGGCAATCACTACAGGGAGTGTTTTTAAAATAAGAATGTTAACTATACAATGTCACTCAATATACGAGCTAACGTACACACACAAAAAAAAGCCGCTGCCAAAGAGATGACTCTAACTCATAACGACCCTATACACAGTTCCCTACAAAAATTCTCATTTAATAACATCAGTGTTCCACCTAAATTATCCTAGATTATATTTATTGACATTCAACATTTTCAAATTATGGGTCCAGATAAGAATCAAAACCAATTAATTTTAACTGACCATTGGAGGTCTGAGTATATTAGACACATAAATGAATGTTCACAAAAATTGAGGTGACACCATGATAGAGATATCTTTAAAATTTTTCTCAAATAATTTAAACATATTTTTTTCTCCTAGGACACAGATATATCTATCTTTTAGAATTAACATTTCCAGATGATAACAAAGTTACGCTGAAAGATATCATTCAGAATAGCTTCTTCCCTGACTCACCCTTCATGCTCAAGATAAATAATTTCATATTCAGAAAAACCAAGCTAAGAAGGCCTTTTTACTCTCCCTTTCAGCTTTCTTTACTGCTTATTGTGGTCAACTTCCCTGGGTTGGGGAAAAGTAATTAAGTGTGTGGTAGTCTTAAAAATCCTAATGGTTGTTTTGAAGAATAAAAAATAAATAGATAAAATATTGCCCAATCAACGACTTTAATCTCTAGTCTTCTACACTCTCATATACAGTGACTTAAAAAATCACAAAACTCAAATGTCAATATTTAAAGTAAGAGAATAAATGAAATAAGTTGATTCTTAACATGGGAAGTTACCTTAAAATACCTTACATACTCAATATTTTATTTAGAATGAGGGTTTTCAAAAAGTGATACACTAAAAAAGATGTTTCAGTGAAAATTCTACAACTTCAATAAAGATCTCTTATATTTACTTTGACTCTTATGCATTAATGTATTAATGTCATATAATCCATTTTTTTAAATATCTGCACAGAGATTTTTGGTTCAGTTATACTTTTAGGCAGGTTAACTTTGGGGTGAAAACACTCACTGTGTTCCTTAATCTTATAAATAGGAAAAATATGTATATCTCCTTTAAGATGGTTTCTACTTTGACTTGAACACTCAGGGACACTTGAAGCAGTGCTTAAATTTTTGGAATGATGTCTAGTTCTTTTATTACATAAAAAAAGACAGTGTCCAAGACCACTGACACAGGACACATAAGTTTACAGGAAATATACCCTATGGATCCAACTGATATCAAATCCCTTAACCATTTTCCTGCTGCTCACTGTTGTTAGTTGCCATCAAGTCTGCGCCAGTGCATGGTGACCTCATGTATAACAGAACAAATTGTTGGCTGGCCCTGCACCATTTCCATGATCTTTGCTATGTTTCCTACTGCTACTGTTACCTAAATGTATTCATATGCACCCAATGAGCTAAGTGGAAAAATCCTACCTGACCAAATGAGAAAACCCTAACCAACTTGGGAAGTCTCTCTTGTTTCTTACCAAAAAATAATTCTTCCTCACACCTATTACCAATGGTTTTGAAATGATTCTCTGTGGCTCCCCAAGGTTCTAAGAGATTGTCTGAGGGGCCCTCATGGACTCCAATCATGGGCTTCCTTTGTCAATGAAAATCATAACTATCCTTTTTTTTTAATTTTGAAATCCTACTATGAAAGACTGTATGTACATATTGTGCTTTATTACTACATAGGCAAGTAGGTAGGTGGGTAGATGAATGGATAAAGTGATTTTAAAGGGAAATGGAGAGGTCTAAAACCTAGGGGACTGACTGTTCCAGCCTCACCTTCATCTCTTCCACAGCACTCTCCAGTTCTTCTGGTGACTTGTATTCAAAGTCCCTCTCGAGGTATTCTTCCTCAGCTTGGGCCATCCATTCCTGCATCTCTGCCAAGTCTTTCTTCAGGTTCACTGCTTTTTCCTGGCTTTCAGACAGTCTGTTTTTTTGAATAGCAATCTAGAAGGGAGAAAACCCAAATAAAGAACTTTTAATATATTAAATGTCAAGTTCAAGTTTTTAATATTTAAAGATAAAATATAACTTTTCATCTTTTAAAATTCTAGATAAAATCCTTTACACGTTTTATGCTGATGTTGTAGAATGTAAATAACAATGAAGAAAATAATTATAACTGGGATTCTATTACCACATTTTGAGTATTAATCTGCAAATATCTATTACAATTTTGAAAGTGCATAGCCTTTGACAGAGTAATCCCATATGCAGGAATCTAATCTACCACAAGAAAAGCACATATATCAAAGAAATTTATGGAAAAAAAAAAAATGGAAGCAACCAAAAAGTCAATTTTCTCATTATTGATAGGTTTACTTCAGATATCACTTTAAAAAATGAGGAGGGAAGGGTTCTGCTATAAAAGAAGTTTGTAAAACACTATAAATTTTTGGTTTTGGTGATCAATTATACTTGTACATTCCACACAGACACCAAAATATGTTCATTAGAAAATAGATATTTGTCTGAGTCTGGTTCAATGAATTACCTAAATACTTCAGAGAAGTCTAAAAATATTTTCAGAGAGATCCTCACTGGGACATCATAACCACAAACAGACTTGTTCTGTGGGAGAACATTCCTTTCCACAGTAACAGTCATTTTACATATTCAGCCTCTTGTTCAGACTGAACCTTGCCAGGGCTTGCCTGGCCGACAAGCTGACAGAAACCAAAAGCCAATACGAGAATAGGATGGCTCTCTCAAGAGTAAGGAAGAGTATTTAACCGCTTTCCTGTTCCCTCATTCCAAACAGGATCCCAGTCACAAAAATAAACAGGGACCAAACAGGAGCTTTTGTCTCACTGCTGCCACATGTGACTCACTGAGCCCGCTGCCAGCAGTACACGCCCAGCCCTGGTTCCCAAGCCCGGCTGAGAACTTTTTATTTTTATTTTTTAAACTTGGAGAGCTTTTTCTTTTTTTTTAACTTTTTTTATTTTTAAACAAAAACACATTCCTAAGAGCACTTCCAGAAAAGTCTCTCTAATATTAGTTCCTAAACACTACTCAGTGATGCAATTTTCATGGTTCCAAAGAGAAATAAGAAAAATAAGAACACAAAAGTGACTTTTCAAAAAGCTCAAAATTACAATTAATTATTCTGAGATTATATCCTTGGGGTGGTGGGTATTAAAATGTGCTTTCTTTCATAATATCATCACTTTCTGTGTGACATTACACTTGAAATAAAATCCAAATTCCAAGTACAAATATAATCCATCCCCTGCCTACCTCCTAAACTCGTATCTTACCATTATTCTCCAACCCACTAACTTCTCTCTCCACTCCATTCCAGCTACATTGTCCTCCTCATTCTTTATTGAACAGGCCAAGCTCTTTGCCATGACAGGGGTTTTAAACTTGCTATTCCCCTTGCTGGAATGTTCGTAACCTCACATGTCTCATCCCTTACTTTATTCAGTTCTCTGTTCAAGTGTTCCAGTCTCAGAAAGCCCTTCCCTGACCACCCTCTTTGAAACAACTCACCTTGCCCTAAACCCTCATTAGCCCTTCCTGATATTTTATTATGATTTTATTTATTATTGATCTGCCTCACTAGAATGTAAAATTTTTAGAGGAGGAATTTTTTTCCTCATTCAATGCTGTATCCCCAGTGCCTGGAATGATGCCTAATCAATATGCATATATATTAATGAGTGCAGCTGATTAATAAATATTTGCAGAATAAATAATTGATTAATGCCTGTGACTGGTTGGTGTATGCCACTGACTCGACTCCAACTCATAGCGACCCCATTGGACAGAGCAGAATTGCCCCATAGGGTTTCCAAGGATGTAATCTTTATGGAAGCAGATTGCCATATCTTTCTCCCACAGAGTTGCTGGTGGGTTCAAACCACCAACCTTTCCATTACCAGCTAAGCTCTTAACCACTGTGCCACCAGGGCTCCTTAATGGCTGTGATTACTATGTAACAAACTCAAATGTCCTGGTGCTAAGGCAGGTGTCATAAATATATGTGTCCAGCTAGATTCAAGACAAGAAGAAGGGGTAAGTCCTGGCCCCAACCTGCCACCCATGCTGTACACTGTTTTTCAAACTGGACAGCTTATAAAATCAATACAGTTGGTCAAGACAAGCCACTGTATATAGCTCTTGAAAACCACAGACAATAAAGCTGAAAAACTCACCTCCTTGCTAAATTTCTCCAACTGGGTTTGGTACTCAGAGAGTTTTGTCTGCACCCAGGTTTTGATTCCAGCAACCGGACAGCTTCGAAGGTTAGCCTCTATTTCTTTCATGTCTTTCAGAGATGATTCAACTGCTTCTATTTCATTAACAAATGCCTGGACACAAAATAAGCCCATATTGAGTTTATCTCCTATGTAAGTGGACATCATCATGATCGTTTGTCTGCTTGTATCCCTGAAAATACTCTAAGAACAAGCTGCTTGGAAGCCAGGACTTTTAACTACTTAATAAATATTGTGTCTTAACTGAATAAATTCATTTTACCTTGGTGCTTCAGACAGCCATAGGCCAAATTAGATTGGAAATACCTGATTCTCAACAGGGGAAAGTGCTTTTAACTACTTTAGAGAAGCCTAATGAGCTCACCTAATACAAGTTATACACAGTATTACTAGCAAATTGCATTTCTTAAATTTGTTTTTCACCATGTGGCACAATAAGCAGAATATACAAGTTGTGACTATTACACTAACATTTTCCTTATAACATAAAATAGCAGCTCCTGATGAACTAAACTTCTTGCTCTCTCTGTCAAAATTCCATAACCACAGCCACAAAGAAAAATATGAATCATCGGTCTTCTTTTATTAACCACAAAGTCAAAAATGTTTTATCATGAAAGATATTTTATCTAGGCTTATGGTCATGGTATATTCTTCCACTTCTAAGAGTAGCAGCAAATAACAAAGAAAAAGCAGGAAATGTGATTGATTACAGTTCGCCAGGTCAGCAGAACTCACAGAGCATTGGTCAAGCTGCCTCTGCAGCCCATCCGCGTCTCCTTGGGCAGCCCGCTCTTTCTTTAAGAAGTCTTTCACACCATCCATCCACTTCGCAATGGCTTCTGAATCAGTCTAAATCGAACACAATAACAACGGGGGATATTACTCAGTGACATTCAACCTACTACATTTCAAGATCCATTGCTACCAGAAAAAAACACAACCTTTCAAACTTTGATAGCATCATTTTCATTTGTTTCTTTTTTTAAACCTTCCAACTTCAAAACTAATTATTTTCTCCATTCTTGACTAAACTCCTCAAGAGATGGACAGCTTAGTAATCATTCTACAGATTTCAAAACACTCTCCACTGAACCAAGCTATTTTGCTCAAATGCAAGCAATATCTATGACCAAAAATTCAAATGACAGAATAAAAGGCTTTACAGGGTATAATCAGCTAAAAAATCTTATATTCTCATAAAATCTAATAGAAATTTTCTACTAAAGTTAGTGAATCAATGCAAAAATGAAAAATTTAGCATTGTGGGAAGGATGCAATAGATCGCCCTTAGTCCTGCTGCTGGATGCCTTGGGAACCAAGGATAGGCCACTACCTAGCTCCATTCTTTCATTCAGCATTTACTGGACACCCACTGTAATCCAGTTACTGTGTATGGTGCTGAGTGTTCAAAGGCAGATGAGAAAGGAAACATTCTGCAGGGAGAAAAAGACTTCAGAGAGGAGGTAATGTTGGAACTGGGCCTTAAAGAATGCAAGTTAAGTAGGTCCAACTTGACTTCAAATACTATAGTAAAGTGATGGTTATTTCCTTCCAAGCCTTCCCACTCCATCACTGGTCAGTCTGACTTGTTATTTTCCCTTGTACTGGCGTGAATTTGTTCCACTATACCTTCTTCAGTTCTCTGCTCCTAGTTCATTCCTATGAATGGAGACAAATTTACTACTCTGTTCAAAAAAAAGCCCTTCAGTTTTGAGGCAGTCACATGTCTTTTCTTTCATTGGTTAAACATAACCAATTTCTTCCAAGCTGTCTCGTAGGAGGATATCCAGGTACACACTCACCATTCTGATGAATATGTTGTGGAAATGACATCAATTTGTTAATACCCTTAAAATATACTACTCAGAATCAAGTATTATTCTACATAAAATGTTGGAATGAAACACAAAGATGGAACCTTCTGGCGACTCACATATGATATTACAATCATATAGCCCTGGTGGTGCAGTGGTTAAGAGTTTCGCTGCTAACCAAAAGGGAAGCAGTTCGAATCCACCAGCCACTCGGTGGAAACCCTATGGGGCAGTTCTACTCTGTCCTATAGGGTCGCTATGAGTTGGAATCAACTCGACAGCAATGGGTTTATTTTTTTTCTTGGTTTGAAACCACTCTAGGAGCCCTGGTAGCACAGTGGTTAAGCTCTCAGCTGCTGACCAAAAGGTTGGTGGTTTGAACCCACCAGCTGCTCTGCAAGAGAAAGATGTGGCAGTTTGCATCTGTGAAGATTACAGTCTTCGAAACCCTATGGGGCAATTCTATTCTGTCCTATAGGGTCACTATGAGTCATTATTGACTCAACTGGAATGGGTTTGGTTTGGTTTTTATACTGCTATACGTGCATTAGGCAAAAGACTGCTGCAAAAGACCTCTTTAAAAGCTTTAAAAGCAAAGATGTCACTCTGATGACTAAAGTGCACCTGGCCCAAGCCATGGTACTTTCAATTGCCTCATATGCGTGTGAAAGGTGAACAATAAATACAGAAGACCTAAGAAGAATTCCACACTTGAATTATTGTGTTGGCAAAGAATACTGAATATACCAGAAGAATTAACAAATCTGTCTTGGAAGATGTATAGCCAGAATGCTCCTTAGAAGTGAGGATGGCGAGACTTTGTTTTACTCACTTTGAGCATGTTATCAGGAGGGACCAATCCCTGGAGAACATAATGCTTGCTAAAATAAAGGGTCAGTGAAAAGGAAGACCCTCAATGGGATGGACTGACACAGTGACTGCTCAAACATAGCAACATAGCAACAATCGTGAGGATGGCACAGAACCGGGCAGTGTTAAGTTCTGTTGTACATAGGGTCACTAGGAGTTGAAATCAACTCAACAGCACATAACAACAATTGTCTGAGTGCTTTCTTAAAATATTTTAACATATACATTATTATATTTTTCTAATAAAGTATAAAAGGAGGCACTGTCTCTGCTTGGCCTTTGAACAGCTCAAGAACCTTAGCACTCTTTAACTTCTCGTTGACCTTCCTCCATCCCTTGTTCCATGTTACTATATATATATTAGTTCTACATTGGTATAATGTAAAACATTTCTCTTAGTTGGTGAATGACTGTGATGGTTAATGTTATGTGTCAACATGGCCAGGCTATGATTCTCAGTGGTTTGGCAGACACTATGTAATCACTTCCCATTTTGTGATCTGATGTGAGCAGCCAATCAGCTGGAAGGGAAGTTTCCTTGGGGGTGTGGCCTGCATCCATGATATAAATGGATGTTCTAGCAGAGTTCTCTCTCTCCCAATCCTGCATTCATCTCATTTGACTTTCAGTTCCTGGGACATGAGAAGCCTTCAGCCTACTGCCTGACCTGTAGATTTTGGATTCACCAGCTCCTGCAACCCTGTGAGCCAGCATCCTGCCACCTGACTTGCACATTTGGGGTTCGTCACCCCCTGCAACCATGTGAGTCAGGAAATGGTATCAAGCTTGCATTCACAGGTCTTTGGCATCTAGAAACTAACACTCTTTCTTAATTATGACATTCATCCTTCTCCATTTTCCTGGTAATTGATGAAGTGGCCCTGATAGCATAGGTAAAAATCCCACTAGTAATTGGGAAGCACATTTATGCCTGTGAGCATCAGGAACTAATCTTCTGGAGGATCTGAGTGGCTTTTCCACCAGATTCATAGTTCAGGCTCTAATACACTCTCAATCATGACTATTCTACACTTTTTAGTTTTGAGGGCCATTCTCTGAAGAAGATGGGAAAGAAAAAGGGCTTATATGGTTAAGTCTTTTTTTCTCCTCTATTAATATTATAGCACTCAATCCAAGTCCTTCCTTATCCTCCTTATTCCGGTTACAACTTTGAGATCATTTTAGTCACACTGTACACTTGTGTTAAGCTTTCTTATTCACTGGTCTGTAGCCTGTCACTATGCTCACAGGCCCATTCTACTCATATGTATTTTTGACGCAGTGCCTGGCTCTACATCTGTGTTTGCTCCAGCATTCTAAGGTCTTATCAGAGAAGTCTTCTTGGAAGACACACTATTAGCTCAAGGCAGGTTGGGTGGGGTGCACAGAAAGAGAGTTCCTTGGAATGAGGACGGAAAGTATGAATACATCTATATGGTTCATAAAATATGAAGGACTTTTTTTAATTGTTCATTTAACTTGCTATCACAGATTCTTGCACTTTTAATATCCATTCTGCAATTCTGAAGAATTTAGGCAGCGTTCCTACTATACGACTGGGCAATTCTTTCAACCTAGTTTTGATTAATGAAAACTGATAGTCTCCTGGGCCAAGGATTTTCAAAATTTGTGTAGAAGCATTTTGTTTCAGGATTAAAATGTGGAAGCATTTTAATCATAATCAGCCTTGACTGAATGAAGAAAGCAGCCTTAACTTCCCCAGTTGGTGACAAAACCAAAACCAAGCCCATTGCCATCGTCAGGTCAATTCCTAACACATGGCCACCCCACGGGACAGAGCAGAACTGCTCCATCGGGTTTTTTGGCTGTGATCTTTCTGGAAGCAGACTGTCAAGCATTCCTTCCACAGCGCTGCTGAGTGGGCTCGAAATGCCAACCTTTAGGTTTGTAGTCGAGTGCAAACCACTTGTGTCACCCAGCGACAGCCGCTGGCAAAGGAGAGAAGTTTTATGACCTCAAGCCTCTTCCTCCTTTTTTCCCTTCTTCTTTCCCTTCCTCCCTCTCTCAGACACACAGAGATCTACATGGGCACACACACCTGTTCATTCTCTTTCTCTTATAACTTTAATATGCGGAAAAAAGGGGGAAAGCAATAGACACAGACAGGTCATGAAGAGCCTTGATCATCCCAGCAGTAACAAAAGAAACAGACGGGAATCTGAGAAGCCACACTGTTTTCACTAGGAGAAATCCCGCATGATCCTGACCACACTGAGTTCTAAGAGAGGCAGCATGCCCCATGGAAAGCGGTCTCCATACCAAGCTCTGCACCTTACTACCTGTGTGGCAGTGAGAAACTCATTTCTGGTCTTTAAGCCTCTGTAGTAAATCTGTAAAAGAGAAAGAATGCCAACTACTTTGCCTTGTTCTAAAAAACAGAGCTAACGTTTGGAAAGGGCCTGGCACACAACAGGCATGCAATAAATGGTAGCTGTTATTACTAAGAGCTACAAAAAGCAACTGCTTTATTATTACAAAGATTAAGCTCCCGAAAAGAGTTACCGCTTCCAAGTTTTGGGTTTTAGTTCCCATAAGAAGAGCCACAGGAAAGAGCAGCTATAGTAAGTGTATGTTTACTTAAGTGTCAGTTAACGTCAATGCTCGTTCTATAACCGTTGAAGAGTAACTAGAAAAGTAAATGTTTAAAAGAGCTACCGATTTTGATATTTCTGACTAGACCTGGACAGACAGAGCTAAGCAGAAGGAAGCCAATTAAACGAGTGAAGACGTAAACTTTAGAAATGGCTGGTAGCAGCAGATTCACACAGCATTCCTGCATTCCTGCATTCCTGCCCATGTAGCCACATCACTAGAGAGGGGTTATTTTCTCAGGCACGAAGTTTAACACAGTGGCTGCAACAATGGGCTCAAACATAGCAACAACTGTGAGGATGGCGCAGGACCGGGCAGTGTTTTGTTCTGTTGTACACAGGGTCGCTATGAGTCGGAACCAACTCAATGGCAGCTAACAGCAACAACAAGATCAAGACCAGCTACCACCTGGGTGCAGGCGAGTGTGAGAAGCAGGGAGGTCTGCTCCATCTCCACTCTCAGACAGTAGCCCCTCCTTACCTGGAAGGTAAATATTGTCTCAAACCACTGTAGCACGTTTCTTTTTAAAAATACCAAAAGGCTGCTCATGTT